TGCGGGCGGCTTCCAATCTGGTCTGTCCCTCCCTCGTCAGGCCCAGCGCCCTTTCGATAACGGCTTGGGCTCCTCTGCCCTGTTTCCTTCCGACCGTCTTGGTTACAATCCCAGAGCCATGGATCAAATGTCTGCGAATGGAATGCCCGGGGGATATATGCTGGACAACAGCCAGGCCTGGAACTACAATGCAGGTGGTGTCGCGACCGTGAACGGTGCCATGAACGGCGCCAATAGACAGAGGAGCGTCAATCGCCGAGCCGCTCTCCCCACTGTAAGTTTTTTTTTTCCCCCTCTCTTTTCTTTCCCTCATCTTTTCGCTCTTTGTAAAGTATTCGTGATCTGACCGCCCCGAAGAACTGGACCGATCAAGGTCTCGGCATGCACGGCTCATATGGCTCCGGCCTCAACGGTGGAATGTCGAATGGCCTCCGCTATGATGGACAGAGTGATATGCGTCCCAGCTCGCAGACGGAAGAGCAGCTGATCCCTACCGCCATTGTCATCAAGAACATTCCCTTTGCCGTGCGAAAGGAGACGCTTGCCGCCGTCATGTTGGAAATGCACCTCCCCCAGCCCTACGCCTTCAACTACCACTTCGACAACGGCGTTTTCCGTGGTTTGGCCTTCGCCAACTTCCAGTCCCCCGAAGATACCAAGATCGTCATTGATGCCATGAACGGAATGGAGGTTCACGGCCGAAAGTTGAGGGTCGAGTACAAGAAGATGCTGCCAGAGGCCGAGCGAGAGCGTATCGAGCGCGAGAAGAGGGAACGACGTGGTCAACTCGAAGAACAGCACCGCGCCCCGATGCTGCACCAACAGCCGTCTCTGCAGACCCTGAACAGCGTCTCCAGCAACCCTCCTCGTGCTCCCCTCGGTACGTTATGACGAAGCCACGAGATGATTCTGGACACCCGATGACTGACCGTGCGTAGAGGGAGACATTGATCTCAACGACCCCGAGACGCTGGAGTTCTACACTGAGCTTACTCTTTTCAAGCGTGACACCAACCGTGAAATTCTCATCTTCCCCAACTCGGTCGCCCCCGAGCAGCGCCGTCGCATCCACATCCTCGCTCATCATATGGGTCTCGAGCATAACTCCGTGGGAGAGGCCGAGTCGCGCCAGATTCACGTTGTCAAGCGCCAGCTTCCTTCACCCACAGCCCAGATCCACTCTCCCGCTGTCGGCTTGGACTACCACAAGAAGGGCCTCAGCAGGGCAGCCACCTTCGACTTCGCCGCTGATAGGGAGGCCCGGAGCGCTAGCACCAACTACTCCCATGCCATGGGCCGCCAAGGTCCGACTCTGGAGCTTCCTGGAAGCCCTGACGGAAATGGCCTTGCCAACCTCCGCGCTGCCAAGAGCTTCGCCGACCTGCGATCCTTCAGCCCTAGCCCGTCCGCATCCTCTTCGAGCTACTTGACGGCCATGAACGGCATCGGGAACATTCCCCAGTCTGGCAATACGGGTGCTCGCTTCGGCGACTACAACGGAGGTGTTAACCAGTCCACCGCACTTGCCACTCCCAACCTGACGCCTACTTCCGGTACGGTCGGCACTCCCGGCACCGACAGCAGCCTTCTCAGCTCGCTTGGTGGACTTAACCTTGGTTCCTACGAGTCGACCGCCCATTCTCAGGCGCGAAGCACTCCTGGTGCCATTGGTAGCCAGCGCCCCGGTGCCAACAGCGGCAACCGCAACGCACCCGAGAGGCAGCCCAGAGGCCCCGAGTGGGAAACTTCGGCCGGCTTCAGCGGCCGCAACCGCTCCAACGGCCACATGCACCGTGGAAGCGGTAAGTATTCTACTTTCGTCTACGTAGACTGGGATATTGAGTCAAAGAAACTAACCCTGTGGCAGACTCTTCCGACAACGCACCTCGTGCTGGAAGTGCCGGCGCATCTCGATTCCACTAGACAAGAACAATAATTTACCTCGCCGAGACTGCCACGACAACCATTACAATGAAGAAACGATTCATGACTCGCGACGCATAGAGACTACAAACGACATTCGACGAGTTCACCGCAGCTCACCGCAGCTCGGTAATCGACCCCCCCCCCCCTGTGTTATACCTACCATTGCTTTTCATGATGGACACTCTCCCCCCACAACCACACCCATATTGCTTATAATGATGATTTGTTGGACACGAGCCTTTGGCAGCGTCATGATCTTTCGCTTGGCCGTCTCGGATTTGGTGGATAGAAGAATTCCCAGTGTCGCGGCGGCATCCAACTTTGGATTCACGGCACCCGCCCGGCAAGGAAACCTTGGCTCATGGCTGTTTCAACGACCAGAGAAGGATGAACGGAAAAGAAACTTGGATACAAGAAAATACCTGATATGGGCAACCATTTCGACATGGCAAAAAAAGGCCCATGGGCGGTCCCCCTATACCCTCCTGTTTCCCCGCCATACCTCCTTTCATGGCGCGCGGGAGCATATGAACCACCCTTGACGATGAATACGCTGTTACGACCTCTTTATGTCTAGATAGCTGTACCAGCATGCTCGACAAAAGCCGCTTCTTTTTGGATGACGAGACCATGCCCTTCGGCGACCATGACTATACCCACCTAATTACCACGGTTCGGCAAGTTTTGATCAAGACACGACCCAAGACTGATGTTGCCCTCGGACTCTCTTTGACGGCCAAGATTGGTTGTTTGTCGGCTTCAGAAAACAATGCCAGCTCTTTATTGGGCTTACCGACGAAAAAAAAAGTTTGATTTGATTTTGGGCGTACCCTACGCGCCGGCATTTCCTGATTTTTTTTCGTTTTGGTCTTCGTGTACCGCCCCCCCCCCGGGCCCTCAACCCTGCAAACTGCTGTCTGTGTCAATTTGCAGAGAGTCGCCCATAGAACGAACGCTCCTGTTCCATGGATGGGTGGTCTTCGGGGACGACTTTGGCGGGGACATTGGCGTTGAGGCTGCATTGGGGGCCGATTGGTCGTGTTTTCTGGTCTTCGACCTGCTAGAGTTTTCCCTGTTTTCATTTTCGTTGGATTTACATGCATTTGCGAGCATCTGAGGCGGGATGACAGGACGAGAGATCAGTGGACGATCCATTTGTCGATATTTTCCAGGAGTGAACAACACACGAGAGAGATGAGATGGCAGATGGGAGGGCTGGCCAAACTATTTGCGTGTAATGTGCGATGGGGCACAAAGATAATTTTCGATGAAGAGAGGATGATGATGTACCGAGAGAGAGCCGCACACACTGGGCAGCTATGCTATTTTGCGCCTTGTCAAATATACTGCGTTTGATTGATACCGATGCTCTTGCCAAGGTGCTTACCTACTGTGAGGACGACACGAATGGGACCACAAGCGAACAGGAGTCGAGGACTCTTTTTAAGCGTCTAGTTGTTCAGTTCTACCGCCCGTTCTTGCGAAGAGAAGCTCGGTATAAATCACATGAGTTGGGGAATCCTAGGTCAAGAATCTCTTACAAAGCCAGGCACAGTTCATGTTCTGTTTCACAACATCTCATGACATTTCAGTGGGTGGGTGAGCGGGCGGTAAACGTGTTTCTTTGTCGCATGAAACGGGTTGTGATGTGCATGACAGATAGCGGGTAAAGGTTGTAGGCAAGTACAACCAGGAGGACTCTGAAGACTGATTTCTTTATATATATAAAAAAAGAAAAAAAAAAGGTTGAGATCATTATTGATGATGGGGCACGGTCAGACGTCTACACCCGTTAACGTTTACCATCACACCGAGATATTGTTTCTTTATTCACAATGTGGCTGATTCTCCCGCTCGTAATCGTAAGAACCCCGGATATCATAGGTAGAGGTATACGCACACTTACCTGCACGCTTTCAACTCTAGATCAATTTTGCTGTGTGGTTTGCACATTCTCGAACTTGGATTAGCAACGAGGCCGGTCAGCCGGAATCAAAATCGGCAGACGTTCCGGGGGAGTCGAAGGGGGATGGGGCGTAGAATGGCCGACCATCTCCAAGACAATGAGTCTGACGATCTTGGGCCATCATTGATGACACCCCCCGATTCACCACTACCGCCACCACCAGAGCCAGACGCGACCATAGTGCAAATCAATACAACGTCTTCTACACCTACCTCATCACCGCCTCCATCTCCATCGTCTTCATCCAAATTGTTCCGGCCCTCGTCACCCTCTTCCTCCTCCTCCTCCTCAGAAACACCAACACCAGTAACAACACCACCACCGACACTGACACCAACATCATCATCAACACCACTCCCCAACCGCACCATCCCTCTCCCAAAATGGCGATGGCGCACCCACTGCGGCACCCGATACCTCATCTCCTGCACAAACCGCTGCGTCCACTGCGGCCGCTTCTTCTCCAACAAACCGGCCCCCAAAACCGGCCCACTCTCCATCTCGCGCTTGTACATGAGAGATAAAGCCTTGCTCAGCTTGCGTCCCGAAGACGCCGAGTTCGGCTACTTCGTGACAGAACATATGAAGCGGAGGAGGAATTGTGGTGGGCCCAGGGCGGCGACGGCGAGGGCGAGAGCAGAGCGGTCGGCAATGTTCATGGCGAGGGCCATGTTGGAGGATTCGGTGATGGCTTCGCCGCCGTGGCTCATGCTGTGGCCTTTTAAGTGGGAGTATGTCAAACAGTGGCAGATGGGAACGTACCCAGCACGAGGAACACAGGTCAAGCCAGCGTCTGGACGACGCGTACGCTTCAGCACTCCATTCATCAAATAATCAGGTCATCGTATATGTAAGCTGAATCAGAGATATATCATAAATGAAGGGCATTGCATCAGTATACGGAAATCAAATGTTGTACCCCCATTACAGTTTTATTCATCTACCTAAGCCCATCAGCTAGTGCCTAATCCGCGCGTGCCTTCTTGGGAACCGAAACAGGAACCTCGAAATGTTGTACATTGTGAGTGAGTGCCAGACTCGAGGCGAATCTGCGCGGGCTTTTGAGAGTGCGGGCACCCAGGTTGAGTACCCAGCAATCATCAAGATCAAGGCGCTCATGGCTCATGCGCCATTTTGGTTTCAGCACCGTACCCGTGAACGTCAAAGACGGAATTGCGTGCAACTCTGAACCGTTGCATGCTTCTTCCTTCCGTTGTTTCCAGATGTTGTGAAAAGATTATTCAACCTCTGGCACACCTGCATCATCGTCGTTTCTGACCAGTGTTGTAAGGAAAGCCGAAAAAAGCATCCCTTGTGACCGAACCACTCCCAAATAACCGTCCAGAGAAAAAAGCCAACCGGGAATATCAACGTTGTTGTCGTTGTTGTGCAAAACGCGGGATTTATGCCTCGAGCGCCTTGGCCTTCTTCTTCTGCTCGACCTTGAGGAGGAGCGCGCGGTTGATGTGTGGCAGAACACCACCAAAGGCGATGGTGGCACGAATCAGGGTGTCAAGTTCCTCGTCACCACGAATGGCAAGCTGGAGATGGCGGGGCGTGATACGCTTGACCTTGAGGTCCTTGGCGGCATTCTACGAGGCGCGCGTCAGCAAAAGATTTAGGCAGAGACCTCGATGAGTCAATGGAGTGCGCCGGGAGGGATGCAACTTACGCCTGCAAGCTCAAGGACTTCAGCAGTAAGGTACTCGAGAACGGCGGTGACATAGACGGCAGCCTTGGCACCGACGCGCATCTTGTTCTGGGTGTTGGCCTTGAGGAAACGCTTGACACGACCGCAGGGGAACTGGAAAGTCCGTGTTAGAAAGCTGCGACCACTAGCTTGAGAAATTTTCATTGCTGCGTGCGTTGCGGGAGTTGCGCCATCATTTTCGAGCCCAACTACATCGTGCACGCGACCGCATCCCGTCCATCATCCGGTGCTGCCTCGGCGGCGGAAAAGTGATCGCGCAGATCCACCGTTGCAGGTGGAAGATGCTGCGCGACACGAGATGATGGTTGGAGGGCGATTCTGACTTGTGTTGCGGTCGAACGCGTCGGAATCGGGTGGTCGTCGGCCGATGCTCGATATTGGGGCCCAAAAATCGACGTGCAAACCCGGCGCATCATCAGCAGAGCGCAACTTACCTGCAGACCAGCGCGAGCGGAGTGGCTCTGCTGCTTCTTGGGGACTTCGGCCGTAGCCTTGCCTCCGGACGTCTTTCCGCCAGACTTTCCCTTGCCGCCGGCCATTGTTGATGTTGATGCGAGGGCGCGAAAAAAAGGTTTAATAGATTCGAAAGTCGAGTTTGGGATCCGATGATTCGATCAAAGTGGGGATGCGCGTCTGTCGAGTAAAAGGTTTGGAAAAAAGGACTGGTATCGAAGAAGACTGTTTCGGTGTTGGGTTGAAGTTGGAGGGGTTGTCGAGGGAAGCTTTGGTGGAGGTGGATGGAGATGGCAGAAATTTAGTTCGAAGGCTGACAGTGATTGTTGTTGTTCGTCGGTGACGGCAGGAGAAGAGGACAGGGGGGCGAATGGGAGCGAGGGAGCTTCGGTGCGAGCAAGAAAATCGCGGTCGGTGTGGTGTGGGAGGTGCGAGGAGGGGGGGGGGGGGCCGTCGATGGGTGTGCCGGGTGCTGCTGCGTGCTGCGTGCTGGTGCTGCTTGTCTTTGCGGTGCTTTTCGTTTCTGAGCAAGTCCACGGCGCGGCCTGTGTCTGCGTGTCTGCGTGTCTGCTTCTGCTGCTGCTGCTGCTCTCAATATGACCACCTGCGCACCTCTGCTGCTCTGCTCTGTGCTGCACCTCTGTGCTGCCACGGCCCACGCTCCCTCCTTGCTCAGAGTTTTGCTGGTGAGCTGTGGTCCGTTCCTATTCGTCGGTTGGAGCTCTATTGTGGATGGCTGTGTTATGGCGCTAGCGTCGAGTGCCCAGAAATTGTTGACAAAATGTTATTGCCGGAATGTTGCGCCTGGAGAGCTTGCATACGGCTGCCGAAGATTACCCGAGCCGCATCGAAGGAGCCAGGAACCTTGAGGTGCTTGCTTGGCCCGGGCGGGCTGTGAGTGAGTCTGATGAGCGAGGCAAGAGAGCCTGCCGCCCAGGACGTAAGTACATGGCACTCGCCATGGTAGAACCGTCAAAATGCCAGAAAGAAGGCAGGAGTAAGGAGAAGGACCTGCTCAACTCGAGCAAATCACCTGGAACCCAGGAGACGCCGTGGCGGCAAAGAAGCACATACCTTGAGCTTACCTCCAAGTGAGGCTCTGCGACGGATGCCAGCAGCAGGCTTTGGCCAAGCTCGCTGTACTGCAGCGGGGTGGCCAAGTAAAGCTCAGAGAAGAATGAGAAGTGGCCTTCAGATCAGACTGGGCCCAAATGCAGCCTGTCTTGAGCCGTGGAGGTGAGTGTTGTCATCTTGACATGATCGTTGCTGATGTTGGCCTTTGATGTCGACGCAAAACGCAGACCGAGAAAGCGTCCCGCACGAGGCTAGTGACAACCTGTGGCGTTCTTGTTCACGTGATGTGGCTGGTGCTGCGTACGGCTTTGGAGTCTCACGTGCGAGCGACGGTTGGCTTTTTGAGCACCAGGCCTTGCCCTGCCTGGACTCGATCGGATGACCGGCCCCATAAAACACCGGGAAGATCTGACACTGGAGCTCGGGTCTTATCCGGTATCCACACCACCCTGTTCTCGTCTCTCGACTCTGGAGGAGTGAGCTCTCACCCCAGCCGGTACCAGCTGTTCAGGTAATCTCACAACATGGCACTGTTCTAAGATACTTGGGTAATTTCCATCATGATCTTCTCATACTTTCTACTCAAATCGTCAATAAATACATGATAGAGAGCGATGTCCTACTCACTGACGACCACACTATTAAAGAAACTTCTTGTTTGCTATCTCGGGCCCTGCCTCTTCGTACTCGGCCCTCGTGACACACATCCTTTCAAACGTCGAAAGTTCGCTCAACATGGAGCCCCCAACCCAAGCGGAATACGCCCTATTGGGAGGAGAGATGACGTTGATAGTAGTATCCTCTCTGAACAAACGGTCCAGTTCATACTTCAACCTTGCGCCGAACCCAGGGGACAAGGTGTTTCCACCAGCCTACACGGTCGTCAACAACACGACTCAGCGACAGCAAAACAGAGACAAGTACTCACCAGCAGGATGTTTTGGCAGAGTTCTTTCCGAAGACCTTGATCGCACTTCACGATAACGTTAAAGGCATCATGCTGCAGCCCACCAACATCAAGGCCCAACATGGAAGGGTTGAACGACACCTCACCCGCACGCAAACCCAACGGGGTGTCAAGCTTGACTTTTATCCCGTCAGGCAGATCCCAGCTCTCTTCTTCCCCTCCGTCAACCACCATATTCCTCCACCGCATCACACCCTCCTCAAAGTCCTTTGCGACGCGGCACCGTTCGGTCTTGGCCAACCACAGAACGTCATCCCAAGCCCCGTTTGACGGAAGCTCCAGACCGACTTCATTCGTGAGAGCTTGCTGCAACCAGTCGTCTATCGCTTGTCCCGCAACGTCGTGCCGACGGGCATGGATCCGGATAGGCGCGTGGTCGTATACTGGTAGAGTAGAAGTCCCCGCGTAGCCCGAGTCGATGACGAGAGCGATGGGTAGGTTGGCCGCGTAAGTTGACAGCAGAGCCGGCGAGGCTGTGTAGTACGCCGGCGCGGAGAGATACTCGAAGACGTGGGATACCATGGTCATTCTAGTTCATCGACAATTAGGCTTTTCGTAGCCCCGGAAAGACGTCTGGGACGTACCGCTGGCTTGGAGAGAGGTGAAGTGGTTCTGTCATAATGATCGGGTGACAGGAGAGCGGTATGGACGCTCCCAGCTCTGCCAACGCATAGTTCCAGATCCTGTCTGCGTCTTTCCAGTTCGTGACCACGCCACCTGATCTGATCGGGTATAGAGGTCGGTTGAGGCCTTCATAATTCGGGTTGACGGCATGACCGACGTTGTAAGTGGTCTGGAATATGGTTAATAAGACTTGCCCCTCGAAGAGCTTGTATGGGTCACGGAAATTTTATGCCGACTGACCATCCAAGTATCAGTATTTCTGTTCTCGTTTGTGCTAGTAGGATATTGGATTGCAGTTGCTAAATTAAAGTCAGACGGCTGAGAACAGTTGCAGTTGGGGTCTTTGTCTCTAGTCACGGAATACTCTGAGAGGCAGCCCGTCACCGCCGAATCCAGCCTTGGTGAACCCGGACCTGGTAAACGATCAGAGCCTGAATCACTCATCCAGAATTACGCCTTCATTGGCCAAGCAGCACTTACCCGCTATCAATGACAATGGCTCGCGGTGACATATTGGCACTGGGCGACATGATAGATCGAACGCCAGGTATCTCACATCATGAGACGTTTAGAGCAAGCTTATGAAAGAGCTCGGCTGTGAGTATTTGACGCTCAGGCATCTTGGGCTGTATACCATTGCTTTTCGAGGCTGATGTGAGCTGGTGCCGATCTGCATATGCAGGCAATACTCATTCAGGTAAGGTAAGCATGCATGCATGTTTGAGAATGCCGCTTATTGCTCGTTTTCATTCCACTTTCATGATTGAATGATTGGAAACGTGACGGCCCACATCACGGAAGTTCATTTGCCATGAATCGCGAGGTTGTTGTAGAGAAGGGTTCTTCCATCTGACTACTGCTCAAGCACCTCTCTCCTCTCTCCTCACGAATTCTTTCAAACATCTTCCAGGTTCAACTTGGTAAGCATCAAAACTGATTGCCATGATCATTCCCAGCGCCATGTCGTACTGTGAGACCCAACAGGCTTCTGGGCAGGTATTGCCTGCAATCATACACTCTGCACGCCATGGTATTCGCCGTGGCAAATCTGCCATAAATAAAAAGACCATGTGATCCCAGTCCACGCCAGTCGCATCCATTACGCTTTCAATCAATAAAACAGTCATCGCTTTCCACGGATCCTCATTCATTACCAAACTCCAGGTTTGCGGGTCGTTGCTTGACGCCTTTTGCGTCATACGTGTTTGTTGTTCTTGACGACGTTTAATACATCATCGTCATAATTTGCTGCTGCTGTTGTCGTTGCCGCTGTGCGTTTCTCTCAGCGAGGATTCTCTTGACCCGTCGTCGGCCGGTGTTGATGAAGTGATATTGCGGCGGATACTCCTGTTCCACGGCTTGAGGGTATGTCCAGTACACGAGCCCGGCGAGAATCATGTTGAAGAACCGGGCTGCGGGTGTGAGTCGGGGTTTCTTGCGGGCGAAATGTCGCCATTCCAGTGTTAAAACAATGTTCCCCAAAACATTGAGGAGGCGGAAGAACCTTTGCGACGGGTTAGCTCTTCAGAAAGTGATGGAGTTGTTATCCAAACTTACATGTTCAATACGATAAAGACCAAGGTTACCGTAACCCGTCTGTCAAACAATCCAGCTATGCCGTCTTCCACATCCTTGACGAGGACGTAAATCGGCAGACACCAAAGGCCTAGTATCGCCGTCTCGAGGATCAACGAAAAGTGATATGTGCGCTTGTGTTCGCCTCTGACAACGAGGAGAGCCAAACACCACCACAGCAGGACGAAAGCGACCTAATCAGGTTAGAAATCCCGCTCCCGAGAAAGACAACAGTGATTTCCATGAACTTACAATAGACGGCACCAAGACGAGAATCTCGTCTCTAAAATATCTCCAGCAAAGCGCACCAGCGACGATACCGAGACTCAGCTGGATCCAGCCCAAGACGAAGTACACCAGCAGGACATTATTGTAATGATTATAGCAGCCCTGGTGGAACTCGGGCTGATTGGGCGCCGAAGCAGTGGCGACGGGATACCCGCACCATCGACAGATCCATACACTCGCGTAATTACCCAGCGCCACCTTCTTGCCTACCGCCAGCTCATTCTTCTGGTACGCGCAGTCGACGCATTTACTGGCGAGAGGGTACCGCGGGTGGTTATAGTCCGCCCAGAGCAAGCTGCCACGTGTGGGATCGTACTTCAGGCAGATGTAGCAATGCGCCAGCAAGGCGAGGCGGAACTGCTCGCCAAAAAGGTCGCGAATGGTCTCCTTTGTGAGAAAGTTACGGTAAAAGCGGCACGTGCGGCGCAGGTTCTCAAGCTCGCCGAACTCGAGGTAGTCGATAATCATGAGATGCAGCTCGGGCGGGAGATCCATAAGACTATTACCTGTCTTGGGACCTAGAATACGGGAGCGTCGTCGGGGATCGAGCGATGCGACCTTTTCAATGACTGAGTCCCGGCGTGAGCGGGATGTGCGAGGCCGGGCGCTTCGGGCGCTGGTAGGTCGTATTGAGCCGCCATCTTTACAGGATAGCTGCTGCTCGAGTTCAAGAGGTAGAGGTGACTCGAGAGGTGAGGGCAGATACTGAGCTGGTGAGGCTGCGGCAGAGAGGTTGAGAGGTTGGGGCGCCGGTGAGTTTGGGTGGACCTGAGGTGCGAAGGATATAGCTGACGGAGTAAATATGGGGGAAGCCAAAGGTGCGCTGGGTGAGTGGACTATGGCGGGCGGAGGCGACAATGGCGATACGGGTTGAGACTGCGGGCCTGGAACGGTGAGTGTCTGAGTTGTGATGTTGTTCGTCAAGGTCTGGGCATTCGAGGACTCGGCGGGGTGAGCGCCTGTGAGAGCCTGGAGGGTTGCGTCATCCTGAGTGGGGGGTTGGGCTGATGGGCCCAGTGTCAGGGTCGGAAGCGTATGAGTGTGATGTTCATGAGCGGAGTGAGGGGGGGACGGTGAGTCCGACTCCGGTGAATTGATAGTCGGTGTGAAAGGCGGCAGTGGTGATGTGAGCGGCAGGGCCGTGTAGTGAGATTGAGAGGCCGTGTGAGCCGGAAGTTGAGCTTCAAGATCGGGTTCAATGGTCGGTGCGGGAACGTGAGCGGGTACGGCAGTGTCCTCGGCGCTGGTGGACGAAGCGGTTAAGGATGGGGCCGATGAAGCCGCGGATGACTGAGACGGTTGCTGATCATCTTGGGAACCTTGAACCTTTTTGCGGACGCCGCGGGCAGCGCGGGAGATGCCCCTCCCGAATGAGCTGACAACATTATCCATAGTGAGCCCAGGGCGGGAAATGGTCGAACGATGTTGTCGGTGGTCTTTTGGTGCACCGTCGACGGGATATGTGCCCGCTGTACAGCAGTGAGGAGTGTGTAAAAGAGACTGGCGGCGGGTCGGCTGGGCGACCGGGGATCCCCTCGTCACGGTGGGTTGAAACTGCTTGGAACCCGGGGTGCTACAGAGAGGCCGATGTGAAACGGGTCTGGAAGCCGCGCCGGGAATCCTGGGCGAATGTTGGGGGCGATGCCGAGGGACTGGGCGACCTGAGGTGACAAGAGTGTAAAGTGTGTGTGAGCGCCAGCGAGCGGTGTGATCGAATGAGAGCGGGGGCGTAAGTGAGTGAGAGCGTTCGCGTTGAAGTGAGATGTTGGCTCAAGTAAATCTTAGCCAACGTCTGCGATAGTAGCCTCGGTGGCCGTGAACCGGTAGGACATTGTTTTGGTTCAGGATGTGAGGGAGGGGGGAAAACTTGGTAAAATAAGAGAAGAAAGAGAGGGAGGAAGAGACGGGTGCGAGTGGAGGAGGTCGAGGTGGTGATGAGTGATTGATGATCGATCTGTGATGTGGTAGTCTGCCCGCTCGTGGGTTCGTTTCTTTTCTTCTTCGTTTGTTGTGTCCCTCCTCGTGGCCCTTGTGACCAACGGACCTGATTCGAGCTGGTCTGATGCAGGGTTACTTTCTAGACTCCTTGAATCCTTGAATCTGGGGTTCCGTTCGAGTTGGGATGCAGCAGGCCAGGCGCAAAGTTTACCAAGGCGTGCCAGGCAGAGAAAGGCAGAGAGTGGACGACAGGAGTCAGAGTCAGTCGGTCCTCTGCGCAAGACTGCGACTCTCAGTCTCACCTTTTTAGAGCGAGCTGCAACGAACGGGCTGGAATGGGCGACCGCCACGCGGCGATCGCAAGGGGGAGGGGGGGCGGTGGTTGGGTTGTCCGGTGCTTGTGCTTGTGCCTTTGCAGACTGCCCGCAGGCGGGTGCGCCAAACCGGCGTGGACGCGGTGGGAATAGTGCGCCCTGGGGCCAAAGAGAGGGGAAAAGAGAAGACGCCGGCCCCTCGACTTTCGACTTGATGGGTACACAAAGGTGGTGCTGTCGTCGGGTGACCAACAAAGTACCTCGGTTGTCAAGTGTCCCCCGGGAGTTGGCGGTGGGGTTCCGGTCTATGAGCACCCGTCGAATGTGTTCAGGCGTCAATAATCAGCTGTGGTAAGGGCGTTTGCTGGTCAAGCCAAGGGATAAGATATAGCGTAGTTCGTCTCTCCTGGTGGGAATAACAACAAGTATGAACAGTAAGGTGGACGAAGTATGTTGGCCAAGAGAGAATAGGTAGACAAGAGAGAATAGGTAGACAAGAAGCAAGACGGTGGCCCAAAAAGCTTGAAACCAAGGAAGCCAGCCAAGCGAAGAAGAAGAAGAAGATGAATCCCGAGACCTTGTCCTGGTGGCGCTGTTCATCCGCAAACCATGGAGGACTCTCCTTGTATTAAACCCGTCCGTGATGACTACGGATACACATAGATGATGGTTGACTTGTCCACGTACGAAGACAATAAGGAGGCAACGCCAAGCCAGGAGGCCTGCCTGCCCGGCACACCACCCTCGGCCGCTCAGATCAGCCTCAAGCTTCGTCAAAACGTGGCCAAGAAGTCCCCATATCCATCTTTAGCAACGCTCCGGGCTTGATGGTGTGTTGGGCTTTGGGTGTGTCGCATGTTTCGAATCCTAGGGGTTTTCGCGCCGCCCTAGCTTCCTAGCATACAGTAGCTCTTAGCAAGGCACGCATGCTTACCAGCATGATTTCTAGCATACCGCGCATAGCTTGCTTCCAGGATGTCTTTTCCTCAGTTCCTAGCTCCCGATGCAACTTTGAGAGTTGCTGGACCGGCAGCTAGGTCGGGCACGACTAGCGATTTCGTTCACTCTAAGATAGTTTAATTCTCGTCAGTTTAGATTCTTCAAGCATATTGCTACTTTATTTTGTGACGAGGGCGGTGACGATGTTGAGGCCGACAATACCTACTGGTCCACGAGGAGGAAAAGCCCAAGGGCATGGACGCACTTTATCAGTCACCTCATCAAGACATCAACTGACAACAGCACGGCTTCACACTCATGTGATAATCAGGGACGCTCCCAGTCAATTTGATTCAAATCCTCCGTGCTTGACCAGCCGATCTGAAGCGACAGGCGACACGGCATGCCTTCGCTGTCCAGTGTTCAACCAGCAACCCACATTCGTCTCCGGAACTGATCCGTACAGTCGCTTCAACCCTGCAAAACCCACGGCATCTTTGCTGGCTTGTTTCTTATGTGGACAACGCCTAGACCTTTTCCGCAGCCTTACGGACCTCCACTTGCTCATACGTAGCATCGCCGTCCATTCCCGCCTCCTTGGAAACTTTGGCATCCTTGCCGTCGAATAGGACGGCGATTTCCTCAAGAGTAGGTCCCTTGGTCTCCACAAAGAGGAACCAGATGCAGACCACCTCAATGACCAAGATGACGATGTAGACAAAGTAGAACTTCCAAGCCAGCGACGAGAGCCCGATGGGGTTGACGTATTGGTTCAAGACGCCAGAGAGCGCTGTCACTCCCAGGCAGATTGCCAGTCCCTTGGCTCGGATGCTGAAAGGGAGAATCTCGGAGCAGTAGGCGACTGTCAAGCCAGGCCATGCGAAACCAGCGACGCCGTAGAAGAGGAAGATCATCGCCAGAACCGCGGACCCGGCGTCTTTGTTTCCTGTTTGGGCATACACTGCAGAACATCTGAGAAGGTCAGCATAGGTCAAGCAACTGCTTGGACATTGCGGGGTTCATACCCAGTCCAGACGCTGAAAACAACGAGCATCCCGACAGCAGCGATGAGGAAGAGAATTCTTCGACCGAGTTTCTCGATAAAATAGACCGAGAAACAGATTGCAACGAGGAACGACCAGATTTGGAGACCACCATTGAACAGAGATTGAGAGTTAGGCTCGTCGATGCCAACGGAACTCAGAATGTCATGAAGGTAGTACGAGACCAAGCCGTTTCCTAACAGAGTCATGTGTCAGTCAAGTCGAGGCTTTCTGGGGGTATGACCATACCTGAACATTGGGAGAAGAACGATGTGAGCACAATGAGCAACAGCCTCTTGCGGTTTCCCGGTGTCTGGAAAAACACCATCCAACCCGTCTCCGCCGCGAGCTTCTCAAGCCTAATGGTCTCTTGGATCTCGGCGAACTCAGCTCGTACGAAGGGGTCATCGCGGTTTCCGCTAGCGTGATACTGCGCGACATTAAGCGTCAGCCTTCAACATATACCACTTGTACTGAACCTGTACGCTCGCTCACCTTGACCAAGATCTCAAAGGCTTCGTTAGATCGGTCCTTTGAACACAACCAACGTGGACTCTCAGGCAACGTAAATATGCCTATAAGCTGAAGCACCGGCATAAGGCATTGCAGAGCAACGGGAACCCGCCACGAGACCTGACCCGTGTACTTGATCGTTCCGTAGACGGTCCAGGCGGCGACGATACTTCCGACGTACCACAGGCTGTTATACATCACAGTGAGTCTGCCTCGATGCTGAGGATAAGCGAGTTCCATGATCAGCAGCGGACCGGCTCCGATGGAGATGTTGGATCTAAGATGATCAGTGATCAGTAGTCAGATCGGCAATTCTAGGCTTGAATGCCTGCTTACCCGAATCCCACGAGAAAACGACCACCGATAAACATGCCTTCGTTTACGCTTGGAACAGCTGCTCGACATTAGATTCGATCCTATTCATGCAGAGACAAAAGGAGCCTGGGTGCCTACATTGGATGATGACACCCACGACCAGGATGATGATGCCGATCGCAGTCGCGATGCGACGACCATAGAAGTCGGCAATGTACGGAGCTGTCGTCAATATGTTAGCATGGGCAATGGTCTTGCTGAACTGGCATCCACAACTGACAGAAGAATAGTGCACTGAAACCACCGATGTTGACAATAGCAGTGAACAGTCCAAGGGTAGAGCCGGAGGGATGGTTGAAGTCTGGAGATCTAGAAGTCAGTAGACTTTTCAACGAAGCAGTGTCGGATGATGTGGCATGTACAAGCTCGCCAGTTCTCAATAGTCTGAAGACCGTTCAAGAGACTTCCATCATAACCGTTGATGGTAGCGCAAAGCATCAGGATTGGCATCCTGATGTAGAGGCTCCGCAAGCCGGCGTGCTTATACCAAGTTACTCGTGGGACCTCGAGGTGTGGAGGCTCCTCAACATAATCCGGATGTTCCTTGGTTGAAGTCATTGTGCTTCTAGATGTACGGCGATAGAAAAAAGCCGAAGACAGGCTCCTCGAGTTCTTGGCGTTAGATCGCTGTGGTCCAGGGTCGCTATGTTGTGAACGATGATGGGATTCAGGGAACTGGAAACTCATAAGATCTACCCATGCCTTTTAAATAAAGACGAGGCAACATGAGAAAGATATTGACAACAAAAAGAGCCTGCGAGTACATACTGACATGTCCAAAAGTAGTTAGACATGATCACCATCTACCGTATTCCTGGGAGGAGACCCCAGGTTCGTGGGGTGATTCGGGAAGAACAGACTGGGGTAAACCAACCAGGCACATGTCTTTCACTTATTGCGAGCGAACTTGCGGCCTCTGGGCCAATCATTTGGCCGTTTTCCCGACATCCAGCAGAATGGAATTGTCGCTCGTCTAGGGATGCGGGATGAGTGCGCGCATGAGCTTGGCGGTGCATTCACCAACCTCTGCGATGAGGGTAACGGCATCCAGGCTAAGCAGGAGCTAGGTCTGGTACGATGTTAGCGCTTGTTTCGATGGGAAACAGGCACTGAAAACGACAAACCCGATCGATCGGAGAATGAGGAACATGATTGGCTTTTCCCCCGAAGCCTGTGAAAGTTTGCCCGCTCCAAAAAGAAGCCTTACTAAACTGCACATAGTATGGCTTTCTGCGTGAGCTCCGAACTTTGAAGGCGCTCTTAGTTCAGAATATCATCTGTGATTTCATATAGGTAGTGAAGCAATTTCGAGACTTATGTTAAGTAGCTTTGTATTGGCGTAGATATGTTTTCTGTCATGCTACATCTTACTATGCCAACTATCTTTCCCACTCGTGACGACATGTGTCCAAGGGCAGCATACAGATTCCAACACAGACGGGATTCTCCCCATTATTCAGGCTACAGGACTATTGATGACAACTAAATTAGGTAGTCGAACTCATGAAGCTGTAAGCTATAGGCATCAGAGGTATCAGTCTGAAACGAAGTATACCTCCCTTGCTGTGTGAGTGCTTGAGTTCGAGCTGAAAAGCTGTCAATGTCGTAGTCCATGCCCGATCTCACGTGTTGAATATCCTTTTCTTCCAGAGGCAGTGAGTATTCGGTCAGAAAGCGCACCATCCAGTCATCGAAATCATGCGTTCTGGAGTCGCATGACAGCAGGCAGAAGTTTTGAAAAGTAGCAAGGCGTTCGATCTGTCATCAAATTAGTTTTTGTATGCATGGGAGTCAGCCACGTGGGTGGGAACAAACCATTGGCGCAGTGTTTGGCCAGTACTGTCGCAGTTCGACAATGGCTGCAAAATTCGCATTCAAGGCATCTCTGGCGCTCTTCAGATCTGCTTCTTCACCGAATAAGAGTGTATGGAGGAGGACCGATGACGATACTACCGCCATGTGCCCGACAGTAGGATAGACGACTTCGCATCCCTGCCTACCACGGGCGAGTTTGACAAGATTGCTGTAAGCCGAGGCGTGGGCCTTGCACCTACTATGATACATGCTAGACGCGGGAGATCTTGGCTCTTGAGAGCTGAGAAACCTGAAGTAGAGCAGAACGGAGTAGTGATGATACCCAAGATGAAGGGCGACATATGGCCCTCCGGTTCCTCTGTTAATATGCCAGTCCAGCATTTCCTCTTTCCATTTGATGTTGTCGGGCAGGGACTCTTCCCAAGTCTCCAGCTGCTGAGACAAAGAGAGAATGCTGCTCTCGATGTCCTCCGCAGTCATACTTCTGTTGACACTATGACGATTGAGCTGCTGTATTGGGCCAAACAACTGTACCAGAGAGATCTTGAAAGCCCATATTCCTGGTTGCCACGGCTTCTCTAATTGCGTCGCTGTAGGATCTAGGGACTCAAATATGGCTTCGTCCATGGGCAGATCAACAGCAAGCTCTGTATCTCGAATCTGTGGCAACAAGCGCAGGCTTGAAGACGACCATCGATCTGCCATGAAGAGTGACCACCATATTCTCCTGTGAATCTCGAGATCAACTAGCCGGGACCCTACAGTGGAGGTGCCAAGCTGCATAATGTGAGAGAGACTGATGCCGGTGCCTTGTCCATTGTGAGCAAATAGATACAGAATAAAACACGATCCCGCTAATCCATTTATTCAAGTCCAATAACGGTCACTTACGGAAGAACAAAGCTTCTGAAGAAGGGTTCAGGTGAGCCGCGCAGAGGTTCGCGATGAGGATACACGCCTGAATGTTTTCGACGCACACGTTTTCCAAATTCGCCAGCAACGTCCGCTTGGATTCCTCCATCAACCCGGCCTCGAGAGCCCGCGTCTCTTCGTCAAGAGCGAATCTCGAGCCCATGCTGCAAATGGCCAACAAGAGAATCCTGCTGATAGACCCATCCTGAACCTCCTGCCGAAGCTTGGCTGGGTGAAACAGACTATGCGGTCGATTATGTAGCTTGTCCAGATAATAGTCGACAAGGAGGACAGCCGTGTGAAGCGGCAAGTCTGTGCCTTCGGTCTTTGACGAAGTAGGCGTGGAGGTGTTTGACAATGAAGGCGTCGGTTCAGGCCTTGGGAGCAACGGCAGCGGCGATGGAGGAACGCGCGAGAGGGAGCTTGCACACGGCAAGCTTCTAACTCGACAAGTATCGCAGGGCTCACCTACCGCGAGACTACGACGAAGGCATTTCCGTTTGCTCTCCCGACACTGTCGGCATGCTTTGGGGGGCTTCATCCGATTGCGGATCAGATGAACGTACGAGCGTATAGATGCCATTCACACTCTCCATAGTTAATGATAATGATGGCGGCAGGAGGACGCCCTCTATTTAGTTTCTCGGAAATGCACACCTTTCACTGGGCGTTGACCCGAAAACCCCACAAACCAACATGTGGAGGACGCTGCTATGCAGGAGGAGTCGACGCCACTGAGGGGAAGCAAGACAGGCATGTTAGCGGCAGTCTTTGCTCGTCAATCGACGCTTTGCTGTCCGGTGTGCCGGCATATTCCCCTCACTCCTCGCGTGTTTCGCAGATCCTTGGGAGCTAAGAACGAATGATCGGGATATGAGCCAATCATCTTTCACAGATTCCGACGTGTGTTCAGCGCCGCAGATCCATCCTCCTCCTCTTGAGTTGCTCTGCTGTCACTCCAAGTCCTGAAATAGCAACCAGCAACACTTTTGTTCTTTTCTCTACATTTCCTCTTTTCTCGTCCGATTCCTCTTCCACGCTTCTTGTCTCTAATCACAGTCGAAGTACTCATCGAAGAAGACCGAACCGAGACCCCGATACGATGACGTTTCTCGACGCAACGCCCCAAGCCGCCGCAAAGATGGCTAACGTTAGTGTGAATATCCCACATCTCGTCCAAACGGATGGGTCGAAACAACTTGTGGTGAAGGGCGAGCCTTTTCTCATGAGAGCTGGTGAACTTCAGAATTCTTCATTATCGTCTCCCGAATACATGGAGACTGTATGGAAGAAAATGGCCGACACCAACATCAACACCTTACTCGGCAGTGTGTCCTGGGAAATGATTGAGCCTGAAGAGGACAAGTTCGACTTCTCGGTGCTCGACCAAATCATTAACGACGCACGGAAACATTCCATGCACTTGGTTTTGCTTTGGTTTGGGTCATTCAAGAATGGTATGCTGTCCTGCTTCTCCCCTGTCCTCAAGTGACAGATTGGAAGGACGACTGAGACTAAGAAATACAGGGCTGTCTTCATATACACCGGCTTGGGTGAAGACAGATGACAAGAGGTTCCCGCGTGTCAAACTTCGCAAGGCCGGAGGTCGTCTCGAGACGGGCGACGTGCTGTCGATCTTCGGCGTCGAGAGTCGCAAAGCAGACGCCAAGGCCTTTGGCCAACTAATGGAGCACTTGAGAGAGGTGGACGAGTCACATTCTACTGTTCTGATGGTCCAAGTCGAGAACGAGTGCGGTGTGCTGGGAGATTCTCGGGACGGTTCAGAGTTCGCGGATAAAGCCTTCCGCGAACCCGTCCCAAGGGACCTTGTCCACTTCCTGTCCGTCGAGTGGGATCAGCTACACCAAGATGTTCGAGAACAGAACCTCACACTATTTGATCATCAAAATCCACAAATTGATGAAAACGGCGACTGGGAATCTGTATTTGGAAGCAGTCCTCGGACTGATGAGTTATTCATGGCATACAACTACGCCCTCTACCTTAATCAAGTTGCCGCGGCCGGGAAAGCGGCGTATCCTATCCCGCTCTACACCAACGTATGGATGAACTACGTCGGCGAAGACTCTGACAACGACTTTCCCGTGGTGGTAGGCGGCGGCGGCATGCCGGGAGACTATCCCTCTGGAGGACCCGTGAGCAATGTCTTGGACGTATGGATGCGCTTCGCGCCGAAGCTGGATTTTATCGGTCCCGATGTCTATCTCAACGACTACGCCAGCTCTTGCGCCAAGTACAGGCACCGGAACCAACCTCTCTTCATTCCGGAGCAACGACGAGACGATTACGGAGCGCGCCGCATCTGGATTGCGTACGGCACTTACGGTGCTATGGGGGTTGCCCCTTTCGGCGTGGATACTATCGAGCCAGAAGACAGTTCTTTCACCAAGCACTATGGTCTGTTGAAGTCTGTTTCGCCCATCGTCCTTGAAGCACAGCGACACCCGGACACGTCAGTGGGCTTCTGCTTCGACGAGTTGCCGGCGGATAGCACCGGAAAGGACCCAAGCCCTGTCATCCGTCGTACCTGGGGAGACTTTGAGATCACCATAGAACGGTGCTTCGTGTTTGGAAAGCCAGGGACAGGGGCTGGAATGGTGATACATCGAGGTGGAGGTAAATTCTTGCTCATCGGCTGGGGTTTCCAAGTCAAGGCAAAGGCATTGGGCCAGAATCGGAGCTTCACCGGCATACTGAAGTTTGAGGAGAAGATTGTAGAGGACGAAGGGTCCGGCCGCTTGAAAACGAGCAGGGTTTTGAACGGAGACGAAACGAGGAGCGGCAAGTTCGCGATGATGCCTAACGAGGACCCAGATTACGGCGGCTTTCCGATCTCCGTTACGATCCCGGCCAGGACAATGATTGCAGAAGTTACGTTTTACTCTTTGTCTTAACTAGATCTGGGTGATCCTATGGTACTGAGCCGAAGCCCATAGAGAGGAGATCACAGCAAAATTCTGAAGACTAGCATTTACCACTCAAGACCGATCCAATTCTCACGTACTTTGATATCACCATCGAAATGAAAGCTGCGAGCATGAACCCCCCCGCAAAGATCCAGGTACCCTGAAACTCCCTCTGCACATCTGCCGCTGTGTTTCCTTGCGGACGCTGCGCAGCACCTCCGATAGGATTCCCGATCAACGCGCCAAAGCTGGCGATGGTGTATCCCATGCCCATTCTCGTTCCATACTCTGATAAATCGTCCGTCAAATTCGCAATAGTAGCCGGAGGTAAAGACACCATACCGCCCGAGACGAAGCCGTACAAGATTGATATTGCGATCAAACCCGGCAGGTCGGTCGCAAAGCGGAAGAAGAAGAGGACGATAGCCGAGCAGAGGCAGCAAGGAAGCATGACGGTCATACCGCCGTACTTGTCAGCAAGCCAGTTGGGGGCTAGACGGCCGAGAAGACTTGCAGCGTTCATGGCGCTGAGGATGTAAAAGGACGTGTCTTGATCGACGCCCAAACGAATGGCGTAGGCATCCACGTAGAAGAAGGGGATGTAGACCGAGCCGATCATCAGGGCGAAGGCTGATTGTGTGTTAACTACTGCAGTGGATTGAAGACCTATTGAACAGAAGACTGACCGATGCAAAATGACACATAGGGGACATCGCGAAAGTGCTTCAGGCGGAAGAGAGCACCACGCCGCTTGAGATTGGGCCTAAGACGCATCATTGCAATGCAGATCAGGAGGCTGCCGGTGACGATGAATGCGAACACCCGAACAGCCCAAGGAAAGCCAATAGATGCAATCAGGCGTCTCTCCATGATGGGATACACGATCCCCGCTTGTGAATACATCAGTACCCGTGCTTGCGTACATCTTCATCTCGGAGTCTGTTCGGAGCTCACCTAGACTGCTTCCCGTAGCAGCAATGCCAGTCGCTATCATCCTCCTCCTGCGGAAGTAGAGAGGAATCACGGCCACACAAGTCAACCCCAGCAACCCACTGCCCATTCCGACACAGAGTGCCTGCGCGAGGAGAATCTGCCAGTACTTCGTGCACAAGCTCAGCATGAATAGACCGAGAGACGTCATGGTAGTGCCGCAAATGAGGATGAAGCGAAGATACCCCGCGTCGAGAAGCCAACCAGCGCAGACGCCGATGAGCATCATCAGAAAGATCTGGATGGAGCCGATCCAAGAGATAGCCGAAGGGTTCACGTCTGGTAAAAGGTTGTTGGAATAGTAAGCTTGGAAGACTCCGAATGAGTTTGTCAAACCCCTTGAAATATGTCAAATTCAGAACTGCGGTTTTTGTCTGGGCCGGCACAAACTAGTATGGGGTCATCGTACCAGGTATTGGCAAACAGAATCCAGCTTCCAAGAACTTGAAGCCATGCGAAAAGTCCTTGGTCCATCACTAGCTCTTCCTCGTCAACTCGTGCTGTCTCATCGTCGCTTGTCGGCGATGACGGGAAGTGATTTTTCTCCTCGTCATACGCCATCACGATCTGTGAGACTGTTTTGGAGGGAGTACTCTGAGTTTCAGTCATTGTCATTTTGGGTCACCAGAGGCAATGGTAAAGTCGGCCTGGGGAGATTGCTTGATACATTTTGCCAAAGATCGAGGTCGCGAAGCGCTGGACCGTTCTTAAAGCGAACGACAAGTAAGCGATTCCAGCCGTCCAGGTGGGTATTCTTAAGCCGCTCCGAGCATCTGTGTCGCATTCCGTCAGACAAGTGTCGGCTTGCAAAGTAAATTGGAGCAGCACCTTGGTGGATCAAACGGAAAACGGTCATAGGTGTCCATATTGTGTGAGCTTCCCTTCTACCTTGAGCCTCAGACCAATCAATAACGCCGGGATCTCGAATCCTCGAATCCAGTTGGAAGATACTTACGGCGCTCCTCGAAGCGACCATGCCGGGATAGTGTGTGGGTTGGGCCGAAGATGACGGAAACAGGGTATAAGATTCCTTTACTCCAACAGCTTCTCACTTTTGAGCCGAGACATCCTAGTCAATGAAAGCGAGTGCACCGTATGCTTATTCTACCTGATGGAGTAATACAGAAACGTTCGTCAAGTGTCTGTGGGTGCCCTGGGCACTCGCATGTTTTATGCTTGTTCGTTGAGGGGCCTTCGGCTTGACTTGACCTACTTCGGCTTCGGCTCCGGCTTCACCACAGCTCGGAGAAGACAGGCGAATGGTGGTGGCTGCAAGTAAACTTTCACTCAAGGAAGTACCTTGGACAAATGGTGGGTGCCAAAATAAGATTATGGCTTGCCACTTGGTTTCGAGCATCATCGTTGAGAGTCTAAAACTCCAGCGGTGCAAAAGCAAAAGATGAAAAACCCGAAGAATGGCTTTGCCAATCGCGGTGAGGATTTGAGCCTCACGCGGGGGTCGAACCCGCAACCTTGAGATTAAGAGTCTCACGCTCTACCGATTGAGCTAGCAAGGCGGGTCTTATTTGATGACTTTTCCAGTGGGTTTGAGCTCCTTGTTCTCTTACACGCGGACAGTGTTTCTCTTTTTTCCTCTCTTCTCGTGTGAAGCTGATTTCGACCCTTCTTTTTCCTTTTCTCTTCTCTCGCTCGGGCCGAAACAATTTTTCACTTGGGTGTTCGAGTCGCCAGTGTTCTGCGCATTTTCATTCCTCGAGGATGTCTCTAATCACCTCGCGCAGAGTCTCGCTTCCTCTCTGAAGCAAATGTCCCTCCCGCATATCCCCGGCTACAATCCCTCCAGGCAGGAGACTCCTCGTCATCTCTACCAAAAGCTCAGCCATCGGTGGCCGATATAAATGTGCGAAGAAGTCCTCCAGTTGACCATCTTCTACCAGAGTGACCTTAGTCTTGTTGTACTTGGATGTCAGATCTTCCACCGCTCTATGCACGTCTTTGGTTGAGTATGATTTTGGCCCGTATAAGTTGAAGATGTAGGGATTATGTCGCATCGGTGAACTTTTTGCGAGAGCTTCCCTTGCGCATGTCCGGCCAACATCTTTGACCGAGACCTTGATTACAGATTTTAGAAAGGTGTACCCTTGACTTAGAGTAAACTGTCTGGTAAAACGTACCATGGGTATTGCGTAGTCTATAGGACACAACACAGAAGAAAAATGTGGTGGATCTTCATGCGCTGTCTTGAGTACTGGTGCCCAATTCTCCATGAAGTAGGCGCATCGAATAAAGACTACCTCGGGGGCGGAACCGATAAGTGCTTGTTCTGCCTCGTAGTTCGTTTTAATCTCGCCCTACAGTATTCCCCTCAGCCATCTGTGTCCCATGAAGATTCTCTCTTCTCAACTTATCGTCCCATGCTCCAAATGAGCCCCTATGCTAGACACATATACCAAACGCTTCGCCGAGCACTTGACCCTACCAATAGCAAATTTGACATTCGCTGCCATCTCCCGTGCTCTAGTGATTGGCTTGGACTCGGAGTATTGCGGAGGCGTAATGGATACGATGGCGTCGGCATCGGCGAAGTTGAGACTGGAAACATCGGCAACGTCGCCCTTGATAGCCCTAAATCGAGGATGCTCCCTGAATTTAGCCGGTACCCTTCCCAAATCTCGATATACACCAGTTACGTGTGGTTGTGAAGGGTGATCAAGGAGGGACCGAACCGTCGCCTGCCCAGTCTTGGGGGACGCCGGAACGACAAAGACGTTCATTGTTGCTGGTGATGAAGAGAGAGGGAGAGCTAGAGCACATCGAACACGACTTCCGTCGGCCAAAACTGACTGTGGCCGGACTTGTAGCTCCGGGGAGTTCTTGATTACTATGTAAAGGCTCGCTGTTGTGTGACATCACACCACAACGGTCTAGACTTGGGTCCATCGGTCGCCTGCATCTCCTGCATCCCGCCATCACAGTCCTCCCGATGTGTCAGTGGCTGCAATGTTTCACAGCCGAAAGCTTCCAGAGAACACCATGAGTTTGACATGTCAGCTGGGCCTAGGACATGGAGTTTTCGGCCCTTCCAGACCACCCCGCCCTCGCAAAATGTCCTGACGCTTGAGCCAGGCGATGTCAGGTTGGATGGTTGGCTATCTGCCTTCAGCCATGCCAAAGGGTCATCCGAACTTGTTGGCCTATCACCTTAGAAACCTTGACGGCAACGGTCCAAGCTCCGATCCTGGCTACCCCTCGAGCTAGCTGGGACCATCCTCGGCTCTTCCCGGAGCGAGCTTCAGCGAGCTTGGTCGTATCAGCCAAACTATCCCGTAATTGGAGTCTGAGGGGAACATAGACGGCTCTCAGTCTGACTTACCGCATCGCAATATCCCTGCGGTAGAATATGCCTTCGAGATGAACACTGTCAACCCCCTTGTAAGCAGCCGATACTGCTTCCTCGAGGGTTTTGCCCGTCGCGGCAACGGACAGGACGCGACCGCCTGCTGTGACAAGTTTATCGTTGACCACTTCGGTCCGGCGTGGAAAACATGCACACCTAGGAATGTATGTTGTCAGCGATGGGCCATGGCACAATTCTGCCACGACTCACCTCCAGGGGTAGATCCCAAGCGGATGAGATCCCCCTTCCTGTATGATTCTGGATAGCCCTCTGCCGCAACAGTGATATTACAGGCAAACCCTGCAAGTGTAACCAGCTTAATGTCACCAAGCCTATCTTCTACGCAAGCTAGAATGATTTCAGGCAAGGCCTCGTCTGGAAGGAGAAGCACCATGCTCTGCGTCTCCGGGTCCCCGAAGCGCGCGTTATACTCGAGCACTTTGGGACATGAAGAGTCTTAAATTCTCGCGACCGCGACTTAATGGAACTCAAATGTCACCCGCGGAGGACCACCACGATTAAATCTCACTTTCTCTGTCACCTTTCCCCACATCAGCTCTTCGTCAACCAAGTAGCAGCTCCCAATCAGCAGTCGGTGGTCACCTCTCTGCCGTGCAATGAAAGGCATCCGGCCCCCGAAAAGAACAACGACCTCGTCTCCAGGCTGCATCATCTTGGGTCCGATGCCCACACGCCCATCACGGGTCGCAAACACCTTTCGGTTGTTCAAGTAGGTACGCGCCCCTGCTCCAAAGACCTGCAGCTTGTCCTCTCGATTCGGATTCCCGAATTCCATCGTCGTTGGCGGGAGTCCGAACTCGGCCATCTGGGCGAGGAACGTCTCCGCCAAGTCTTGAGCCTCTCGGTCGAGCTCTGCGTGAGGTTTATGGGTTCGATCGTCGAACAGCGGGTTCAATCCTCCTTGGTTCCTAGTAAGGAGATGACTATATCCAATGATGGAACCCAGAGCACCAGCCAAAACGGCTTTACAGAATGCCACGTCCAGTAGGATATTATCGCGATACTTCTTCCCGCATCTGGGGGCGATCGATGAGTCGAAAAGCTGCTCCCAAGCCTGCACGATAGCTTCCGCAGTAGCTCGAGCCCCAAATCCAAACGCAACTGTTTCACTCGTTTTCGATACCACATCAACGTGATATCCATCCAGAGAAAGAACCTTTGGTCGCACGGGATCGTTACGGACCGGTACATCGTGAAGCTCGGCAAAATAACGGAAATGCCCATCGCAAAACCCAGCGAGATAGGCTCCCTTGAAGACGATGCATGTCCTTGGATCAAACCACTTTGGAACCCAGGACGGATAGTCACCAATGCCTGGGTCCTCGTTGTGCTGTACGTGGTCAAGGATGTCCAGAATCCGAGGCTGTTTGCGCAAGAGGAACCTCGTAAGATCGCAATACACCAGCACGGTCTCCCTTTTGTAATCCGGACGCAGAGCTCTCGGCCGACCGAAGTTGAGATCCGGAGCAAGACCATTGACGAAGCTGTTGACTCGTGTCAAGCCTCGACGAATTAACCGAATGCGCCAACTGTCATTATTGTCCAAGACCTGCGTCAACGCCAGCACGGGGTTCAGCCCCTCGTCGCAGATACCAAGGAGGGAGAACACCTTGTCACGATCATCCGTCGCTTGCAACGTTCGCGTCAGCTCCAGAAGTGCGAGAAACGAGCCAATCGAGCCCTCGACCTCGGGCTGACCGAGGATACTGTTGGGTTGCCGTCGCATGAGGATCAAATTCCATAACTGGTAGGGTCGGTCGATGAGGATCTCGCTTTTCCAACCCGCGAGCACAATCAATGAGGCGATCAAGTCGAAAAAGGACATTTCCAGGTCCTCAATCTTGGCAATCGCCCTTGAAGATACCACCACCTCCTGCACGCACCAGCAACGGCAGAAGTACTGGCGTTCAAAGACTTCGTCCAGGTGGATCATGCATGTCTCCGGTAGGTCTTCAAGCATGCTGCTCATCAGGCCCTGGACTGTGCTGGGGTCGACTTGCCCGCCGTTAGGTCCAGTAGCCGCCGGATGAGTGAATTCTCTGATTCTTGCGAGCCGTTCTGCGGCCTGGAACGCTTCAGGAGTCCCGGAAGTCTTGAGACCGAGCCATACGATAACGCGGGCAGCGTGCTTGTAGACCAGCCTCATGTACTGGACCTGCCGAGCACGCTCGTCCAGGTCAGACTGATCGATGCAGAGCGCATCGACCCACAGCTTTCGCACCTGGTTCGGCAAGCGTAGAGAGCGCAGAGCGTCTTCTAGATTTGGCTTGATAAGCATAGGACAGCCTTGCATCCAGATGTAGTCTCTCGGCTGTTCCGTCGGGTTTCCCCACGTGTAAGACAAAGCCTCGTAGGGAGGCGCATGCTCGATGTCGACAACTTCTAGATGCGCTTCAAAGGGGTCCTCTCCCGAGCCTGGGTACAGGAAGAGGAGTCGGGTGAAGGACGGTGTGCGACCCTCTTCCGCAATCGGTGGCAGAGCTTGATATCGATACGTGCTGTTCCGTTGCATTGTGCTCTTCTCTTTAGGAACGGATGATGCCTCTGGCTCTCGGATTTGAGCATCAGCTCGCAATATCCTGCCACATTGTTAGCCAAGTTGTAGATGTCTTTCGAACCATGTCAAGTGTCATCACGTGCGGAATATCGTTTCGAAAGCCTTATTACCAGAATCGGATACAATTCGTCCGGTTCAGCAGGGGTCACGATGGAAATTGCCAATCAACTGAGGGCCAGACCTCAGCCGCTCGCGCTAGCTAGACGCATGACAGGCAGCCGTGGCTGCCAAGAAGACACGGAATGGTGTGAAGCTGGTTGCTAAATATGCGGTGGTACCTCAGTAGGGTTGTCAATACAGTATGCCATCCTTTCATGGCCGCGCGAATGCTGGGAAGTCTACCAGAATGGCCCTTTTGTTGGGCGTAACGTGCATCAAACTCCTAGCTCCGTGAGGGCCTTCTCCGCATCCGACTTTTGGGTATCATTACAGCAAAAAAAATAGTTGCAGTGTCATATGCAGCCCATGAACACGTTAACGCCCTCGCCCTATGAGTGGCACGCACAGCTTAGCTGCTCGAGGCTGGGGGTCACTCGAGTATCGAAATCGTGGGTTAAGAAGCAGATTCTACACCTGACTCATCGAATTTCAGGTTCCTTCATGAAGTCTGGAACGGACAAGCCAGCCTCGAGAACGGCGAGATCCCAGGGGTCTACAGGTTCCTCGTCTGGTTCCTCACTCACAGCTCGCTTTGGGTCTTTGTCAGTCACATACTTGTCGCATGTTTTAGAGGATCAACTCACCCGGTTCGACATGTCCGCGTCGATGCTGGGGGTGTCCGTGTCCGCGGCGTAGATCTTGATAGAACGAAGGTGCGTATCCTTGCCGTTCTGATGATTCTCAAGTATCTGCATTTGGAACACGTAGGAAACCAGCGTATTGCCGTCGGGGCCGCCGCCAGCGCCGTCGACTGGAACGATCTGCCAACCAGAGGGTGTCGAGAGCTCCATTGTGGCAAACTGAATGAGATTGTTCTCGCTGGTACCGGACTTGAAGATGATCTTGGTTGGTGTATAAGATTCGTCTTCATTGTAGTCTACGTAGAAGCGAATGTCCCTGATGCCGACTCGCTTGATGAAGTAGACTGTAAGCTTGTGCGGCTGAGGGCCATCGGATCTGTCTTATTGTCAGCAAAGGCGTGCATTTATTCTTGGAATGGGTCGTGGGATAAACCCACTGCCAATAGGTTTTCAAGCTATCGTCGCGAAGCTGGTCGACACCGTTCCCCTGCTTGTGGCTGCTGACGGTGAATTTCCCCAGATTTGAAATCTCCTTCAGACCGACAGCGAGGGGGTCGAACTCAGGCTCATCTTGTTGGTCCCCGACTTGGTCGCCGTTTTCTCCATCCTCAACACTAGTGTCGGTGCCAGATATCTCGCCAAGGTCATCGAGTGGCATGCTGATACCCTCCTCGTCAGAATACTCCGGGATGGGCTGGCTTCGTATATACTCCTCCATGTTGGCGCCAGCTCTCATGGCCTCCCAGTCAACGCGTTGCGGTGGGAATGCCTCGCCGTCATCAGAGTCCTCTTCGTCTTGATGTGAGCCGCCTAAGGGGTAAATGAGTCAGCAATGTTGTGATAATAAGCTAGAAGTGAAACGGTCGAGGTTCATGGCTGGGTTGCAACTTGTCAACCGTCCGAAGTCGATGGCCGGGGCCAGAACATGGACCAGGCGGATGTCATGCGGCCCCCTGGTCCAATCTCCCGCACTGGGCGTCTAATCGACTTCGAAAGACATAAAAGACTAATTTTTTCCGCATTCTATTAATACCTTTGTGCAAGAAGTGCAAAAAAGGGAGAAATTTGGAAGCCAGATAAAGCTTGCGCGAAAAGCTGCAATGAGGAGCTATCGATTCTCATCAATCAGTAGTCGAAATGATGCCCCTCCACAGAGAGACCACCACCCCTGTCGGACGCATGCAACCCGAGGCGACATCGAACTAATCACCATCACCTCTGAACTTGCAGGGCTGAATGATTGAACATTACAAGAGCGATGTCCCTCGCTTCGGCTTTGAGTGCGTTGACGCGCTGCTGGTGGTGGATTGTACACTGCGCAGCAGCCACAGAGGCGAAAAGCAGTAGGCGGCACTTGGGGAGATGACCACCAGGAATTGGGAGTTGGGCATTTAGATATGAGAGAATGAAAGAGCGACTTACCATTGGGACCGAGAGCTCGTGTCGCTCGGCGGTCGTAATAATCGCCCGACCACTGGCTTCTGGGTTCGGCATCGAGGTCGAACCCGTTCTGGGTGAGCTGCTCGGGGCTCCGCAGGTCAGACCGTGGGCGGCCGCCATGGATGTTGCCCCGCCGTCGGTCATCCATGTCAATTCACCAGCTCAGGAGCAACATTGGTGTCTGAGATTGGCGGCCACGGCGCTTTCGTCAGTGAGCATGCGTGGTGATGCTACTGCTGCGTTCACGGTTGAGAATCACGTGGATCCACCGAGATCTGTCACGTGTTCGCTTGTCGGTGTAGCTTTCTTCACCGGCTCACCGGCTCACCATCTTCACAAACGGTTGACTGGCGAATGGTTTTACAGAAATAGGATACATAGACATGGAAAATAATCCGCAATTTCTCTGAGAATAGTTTCCCTCATGGTTCCATGGTGGCTTGAAACACATGCAGAGTATGTTTGTTGGTGGTCAGAACCCCAGAGCTATGTGGCGACTCTATCCCGGATTGCAACATACTTGCCAAAGACGACTGTCTAAGTAGTTTCGTGAGGGGTTTCCAAGCCAGAAATGTAGTTATTTCATGGAAAAGTCCCAAGCGATTGGTTGCGGTTGTCTCGGTCCTGGATCTTGCATTTCAGCTGAACACCTCGTTTGCTTTTTGCATGGTCTAGACTCAACGTTACCCCGACTCCGTGTAAGCAATCTACTTGACAACCTCCTCGAGCAGTAAACCCTCCTTCCACATTGGAACTAAAGTATTGAAGAGACTAATGCATCGAAAAGCCTCATTGTGTCTTCGTCATGTTGTCCTATGTAAGCGCCCGTGGAACGACCTACTCGACTATTCTCGTCCCTCTCGGAGTTGTCGCCCAAATGACTAGCTACGGACTGGACCGACCAATGGTGAGGTTGTCGTCTCACTTGAGAAACATAGATGGAAGTCTGCACTGGCCCAGACTTCTGCGATGTAGCCATTTGATCCTGATTGCTGCAGTGGCAAGGCGCATGTTCCAAAAGACGGCCGGTGAGGAGGGGATCGTCTAACGCGGTGTTCCTAGCAAGCTACGGGGACTTTCACGTCCAAGGCTGGCGTTCAAGACCCCGATCAGTCCTCGCAGACCAGAAGATCAGATACCACAGTGGCTAATTATAATATCTCACATCGAGTTACCAGCCTTAAATCTGGTGTATAAAAGGCCAGAAGTATCCTGCCAGGAGGTGTATGTTGGATTCGAAGCAAGCAGCACAAGTTCAATCTCATCTTCTCATCGTTTTTATATCTCAACCCCCGAATAACAGCAACTATGAAGACTTCGGCCCTCATCTCAGCTCTGTTCGCTTCCAGTGCTCTGGCAGCCATCGGAAGCTATTGCCATGACAGCAAGGTCTATTTCATCCTCAAGAACACGTCGATGGCATCCACTAACGTCTATTCATTCTTTACAGGGAAACTACGGAACCTGCCAGAAGACCTCCAAGTGCAGCTCTCTCAATGGCTACACCAAGACCAACCTCTGCCCCAATGACCCGGCCGATGTGAAGTGTTGCTTCTACCCGGACTGCAACAGCAACGGATACTGCCAGAAGGATTCTCTTTCCTGCAGCGGCACATACTCCACGTAAGATTCATAATTCAACTCTTTATCTAACCGATATCGGAATGCATAGCTAAGTTTTCACAATGTAGTGGCGATTGCCCTGGTCCCTCTGGCTACCGTGTAAGTATTCATCTTCCTGTCGCTCGAGTTGATGCTGAGTTTGAACAGTGCTGCAACGTCAGAAAGCCGCCCATCTGCAGCAGAGGTGACAGGACCAAGCGTTGCATTCCCCTTTGAGTGTGAATTGGATTGGACCGGACTACGTATATACGTTAGTTAAAACGAATCGCATACGTGCTTTACCGTGGACGGTGACTTGCTTGAACGCAAGTGATAAATGCTTACTACCTGCGCTGGGTTTCTTCAATATCATCCGTGTTGTCATTTGAGAAGTATCGCTCTGTGAGGAGCAAAGTATAGATTGTCGAGGCACTGGATATATGGCAGATCACGTTCGACGGCGGAAGAGCAGTAGTCAAACTCAACAAGCAATTACATTGCACTTTTCCTGCCAGTAGTAAAAGAGAAACTATGCCCATCCAATGATCAGACCATGAAAACCCCCCAGGTCCATCCCAAAACGCCGGCCAGAGAGATCGAGGTATCATACAGCGCATTGAACACAATATGTTTATGCACATGAGGCCCAAGTGCCGTCTATGAATAAGAAATGCGACGCCGCTTGGCTTCCTAAGCAAGGGAGCTGCGCTTCTTCTTCAGCTTCTTCTCCTTCTTGGGCGTCTCATCATCTTCGTGCTTGCGCTTCTTCTTGGTGCTGTCGGTAGCCTTGACAGGCGTCTCTTCGACCTCGTCCTCGTCCTCGGCCTTCTTGAGCTTCTTCAACTCTTTCTTGCTGAAGACGACGGGCGTGCCGTCCTCGCCGAGCTGGACGTCACCACGCTCGAACTTGCGCTTGAACTTGGACACGCTGATGCCAGCGGCCTCGGCGAAACGCTCGTAGTCCTTTTCGCTCAGCTTTGCCGGTGTGCCCTTGACAGCCTTGCTCTCCTTGACGGGAGTCTCAACCGCGGCGATGGAGACGCGCTTCTTCTCCTTCTTTTCCTTCTTCTTGTCCTTTTTGCTCTTCTTCTCTTCTTCGCTAGCATCGTTCATCTCGGCGTCCTCGTCTTCGCTCTCAGCGTCCTTCATCTCCTCGTCAACGACCTGGATGAGCTTCTTGGACTTGCCGTTGACCTCGGTCTCAACACCATCGGCATCGGCGTTGTACTTGCGAGACTCCTTCAAGCTGAAGCCACCGGGTGCGGTAAGCTGGCCGTCAGGGCCGACACCAACACCCTTGGGAAGGAGAGGCTTGCCCTCCAACTTGCGGAGGAGGTTCTCAAGCTTGATGCGGCTGGTAAGACCGAGGATGCTGCGCTCCTCCTCATCGTCCTGGTTCTCGGTGTCGCCGAGAGCGTCAACACGCAGACCAAGCGCAGTCTTGGCGGCAAGGGAACGGGCGATCTTGCCCTTGTTCTTGCCAGTGGCCTGGCCAACGAGGGAGGAGTGGTAGATGATACCGTACTTGGGTGTGTCGTGCTTGGTCTTGAGAGCACGGAAGAGCGCCTTCTCGGCACCGTAGATCTGGATGGTGGAGGAGGGAGCCTTGGCGAGAGAAATGAGGGAGCCAGCGTGGGCGATCAAACGGGCACCGACGAGGTAGCCAACGAGAGCAGTCAAGTTGGGGGCGAGAGCGCGCATGCGGGTCTCGAGGTAAGTGGAGAGGGAAGTGCGGTACTCAGAGTAGGTGATGACTTGCTGGGCCAACAGTTGAATGTTCTCCAAATCTTCGGGGGTCATCTCAGTTCCCATGGAAATCTCGGCGGCAGTCTTGACGGGGCCCTCAAGCTCCTCGGGAAGGATGTCGGAGAGGTCGGTCTCGGCGAAGTCCTGGCGCATGCCAACGGCAACAACGAGACGGGCGTAGACCAGGTTGTCGTTGAGGATCTTGGCAAGCTCGGGAAAGTGCCAGCCGTACCATTCCTTGGTGCGCATGGCGTAGACGTTCAGCTCCTTGTCGAGATCGTCCACCAACTTGATGGCCTGGACAACCATGGCGTCGACCTTGTCGGCGGAGAACTTGAGCTTGTGTCGCGAGATGGAGTGCGACAGACCAAGGGCCATGCGGTCCATGGTCTCGGTGCTAAGACCAGGAATGAGGGAAGAGAGGTTCTCGCGGACAGCACGGAACAGGTCCTGGGAGGCGGCATCGGAGACGGCCTTGATATCCAAGTCGGGGAGCTTGCCAATGGCAGTACCGAGCTTCAGGTCGGCAACGGCAAGGGTAGCCTTCTTCTCGTCTTTGATCTCCTTGAGCAGGTTGGCGAGCATTGGCGGGACACGACCCTCCTTGAGACCGGCGGCTTCCTCGACGGCGACGGCGGAGCTATCGAACTTGACGAAAGACTTCAACTTGAGCCTTTGCAACAGTCAGTCTCAATTGTATTTTGGACACAGCGATCTAGTCACAGCCGAGAAAACGGGTTTGCTTGCACGCGTGTGCGCTGCTGCGTGACGCTCTTGAAGACTGGCTGCAATTGTCGATTGTGGGAGCGCGACTTACATCTCGTTGATCTGCTCCGAAGAGGTCGGTCCAGTGGTGAGCTCATCGCGCTTGAGAAGCTTCTTGTCGGCAGCCTTGAACAGACCGTAGCTATTTCTCGTGTTAGCTTTCCAATTGCTGCCACTTTTTTTTCCTCTTGTTCTTTTTTAAATGGAAAACTTACCCTGCCGGCGTTTCGGCGAGAACGAAGAGAGACATTGTGAAAACTGTCGATGCTCTTCAAACCTGGCCAAATTGGTCCCTCGGGTAAAATCCTCCGCGCGTGGGTGTAAATGTTGTTGTCGGCGGAGGCAGGTTTCCAGCGAGCGGATTGATGGTTTGGAAATATTTTTTTCTGAACCAAACCAAGCTCCACCAATTTTTTTTCGATGGCTGCAGAGCCTTTGGGCGGGTCCCACCCCACACACCAATTGGCAAGTGGGATGGCCCGGAGCGCGTAAAATCTGTTTCGCCGAGAAAAGCCGCCTCCGGTGGCCTGTGCGCTGCTGCAACTCGTAATGCCTAAGGAAGGTGGACTTGGTCGGCCTTGCTGGGACCTTGGAGCTGCCGTGCAGTGATTTGGTTTGGCAGAGAGTGAGAGCGAGCGTTCTAAAGTCAACGACTACAGCTGTCTCCGTTTGCGCCTCCACCAGACCGGCGTCACCACTCCCAGTCGCCTTCGATCCAAACAATCCACAACACAGACAAGATGGAGGGTCTTTTCTTCAACGTCAACAGCGGGTGAGTGTTGGGTTTATGATGGGTGACATAACACATGGGCTGTGGCTAACATGGTGCAGCTACATTGAGGGCATTGTTCGTGGATACAGGAACGGCCTTCTTACCGGCTCCAACTATGCCAACCTGACGCAGTGCGAGACCATCGATGGTGAGTGGTTTCAAGTGCTCCTATGCGGTACACCTCTAATAAGGTTCCAGATCTCAAGTTGCAACTCGGCCCTGCGTATGGCGACTTCCTCGGCAACCTCCCTCCCAACCCCTCGACGTCAGCTCTCGCCGCGAAGACGACCGACAAACTTGTCTCCGAGTTCCGCTATGTTCGCGCCAATGCCGTCGGCTCTCTTGCCCAGTTCATGGACTACCTCACCTACGGTTACATGATCGACAACGTTGCCCTGCTGATTACCGGCACCCTTCACGAACGAGACACCCGCGAGCTTCTTGAGAGATGCCATCCCCTCGGCTGGTTCGAGACGATGCCAGTCCTGTGCGTTGCGACGAATATCGAGGAGCTTTACAACAGTGTCTTGATCGAGACTCCGCTTGCCGCCTACTTCAAGGGCAGTCTTAGCCACCAGGATCTCGATGAGCTCAACATCGAGATTGTCCGAAACACGCTGTACAAGAACTACTTGGAGGACTTCCACAACTTTGTCAACACCCACCCCGACATGGCAGGCTCGCCGACAGCTGAGGTCATGTCAGAGATCCTGGAGTTCGAGGCCGACCGCCGTGCGATCAATATCACGCTCAACTCCTTCGGCACCGAGCTTAACAAGAATGACCGCAAGAAGTTGTACCCCAGCTTTGGTAAGCTATACCCGGAGGGTACCCTCATGCTCTCTAGAGCGGAAGACTTTGAGGGCGTCCGTCTTGCGGTTGACGGTGTTGGTGACTACAAGAGCTTCTTCGAGGCAGCTGGTCTCGGCGGTGGCCCGTCTGGCCCGGGTAACCAGGGCGGCGGCTCAAGCTCCGACGGCAAGAGCCTGGAGGATATGTTTTACCAAAAGGAGATGGAGATCTCCAAGAGCGCATTCACTCAGCAGTTCACTTTCGCGATTGTGTACGCGTGGGTGAGACTCCGTGAGCAGGTAAGAACCACCAGACCCCTGAGCATGAGCTGGACGAAGCTAATGACAAGCAGGAAATCCGTAACATCACCTGGATTGCAGAGTGCATAGCCCAGAACCAGAAAGACCGGATTGGCAACTACATCAGCGTGTTCTGAGTTTAATATTTGGCAGTCCTGTTCTGTTAGTTTTGTAGAATACCAGTTTCATCGTTTAATGGCAGGTCACAACGGCGCAAGGAGGGAGCTCAGGTTCATGACGTGGAGATCAGCATCTTTACCGATCGCTATAGTGTACATAGAGGACAATTACAAGTCTGAGTTTTACACGTGTCTACCGTTTCCCGCTACTAGCTCGCCCTAGAAGCTGATCTGCTCCTTGTAGGTCGCCGGTGACAGACCCAGCTTCTCGAGCAGATGCGTCCACCGCCCGCTACCCCTCTCACTGCGCTCCATGTACTTGAGAAGCTTTTGCCGCCTATGGCAAAGGACTCTCAAGTTCCTCTTGTTGTGCTTGTCCTTGTAACCACGGTTCTGTGACAGCTCGTGCGAGAGCTTCCTGATCTTGGCGGTCAGGATGGCAACCTGCACCTCCGAGCTGCCAGTGTCGGGGCCGCCCCGAATTGGCGGCTTGGGAGCCTTGGGATCCACGAGAGCAGACTTGGGCTTCTTCGTCAGAAGCTTGTCGGTGTTGTGCCGGCCAAACTCCTCGACACATCTCTTGATGTTGGTGTGGAGAAGGATCTTCGAGTTGGCATTGTCCATAGACAGGATACGCTTCAGAGCCTCTACTGCCTTGGCGTGAACCAGCTCATGCTTCTTGTCCGCCAGTGCCTCCATAGCAGGGTCTGCCAGCTCCCTGATTTCCGACTTTACAGGTTTCGTCAAAATGTAGGCCTTGTCTATCACTGCTTGGAGCTCCTTCTCGTCGACGAGGTGGTTGAGAAGCCCCGGCGAAGTTGGCAGAGGGCGAGGATCGGAGATGATGTTTCCATTATCGTCCTTGACGGGCTTCGTTGTGGGCGCCTGGCCGGCCGAGTCGAATGACTCCACGAAAGGAGTCGGAATGCCATGGATCGGGTCGCCCCAGCTCGCATCCTTTTCCGCCTGGATTTCGCTCTGTCTCTTCTGGTTGGCAGCCTTGCGTTGTAGCGCCTGTTGGTGCTTGTACGGGTCCTGCTTCGCTTTGCGCTTCTTCTCGCGCTGGGAAAGGTTCGCGGTCTGAATGACGGGGAGGAAGCTCGGGGTCGGTCTAATAGCTGGGCGTAGGCACACTATGACAGTCAATTAGTTTTCCAATTGCTTCTTTCATCCTTAAGGATAAGTCTGAAGCTTACAGCTAGCGGTGCCTAGCCGTTGCAGGCTCTGTAATCTGGGTGGCATGGCGGCAGCAGTTTCCCTTCAACGCGATCATCGACAATGGGAACCATAAAATTTCCTAGACTCTGGTCCCATATCTGGAGTGCAGCACTCCAATGGCGCCCGGCCCGTTCGTCCTCCGCTGCACATCTCCTTGGAGTGGAGACACCGCCCAAGGAAGACTAGCGGCATTTGATCCCATCACGTGAGCTTCGAGTCTCCCCAGGTACGTACTCTGGCGGGACCTCGAAGACGCTTGGACCACAAGGGCCTAGCGAGGGCTTTGCTAGAGGCAGGAGCTGCCCACTCACCCACGAATTCGAGACGCACAACTGGGCGAACTTTTTTTTGAGGATCGCGAAATCTTGACTTTCTTCCCTTTCCGCACCACCACCGTTCGACACCGTCTCCCCGTGGAAGAAAGACCGAAATCGCCCAAGATGGCTCCCGCTAACCTCCCCTCGATCTTCAATGCCACTTCCCAGGACATTGAGATGCTGCTCGCAGCTCAAGCCCACCTGGGAAGCAAGAACCTCCAGGTTCACATGGAGCCCTACCTGTGGAAGACCCGTGCCGACGGTGTCAACGTGATCAACGTTGGCAAGACCTGGTAAGCAAAGAAAGCGACGCGTTGTAGAGGTTTTTCTCTCGAAGAATTTCAAGAACAAGAAATCACCAAGGAAACCTCTGTTGCGCTCCTCAATTTGCGCCAGCGCAAAAATCGCTGACTTTTTGCGCCTCCAGGGAGAAGATTGTCCTCGCCGCCCGCATCATCGCCGCCGTCGACAACCCAGCTGACATTTGCGTCATCTCTGCCCGTCCCTACGGCCAGCGTGCCGTCCTCAAGTTCGCCGCCCACACCGGCGCCGTCGCCATTGCCGGTCGCTTCACCCCCGGTTCCTTCACCAACTACATCACCCGCTCTTTCAAGGAGCCCCGCCTCATCATCGTCACCGACCCCCGTACCGATGCCCAGGCCATCAAGGAGGCTTCCTACGTCAACATCCCCGTGATCGCCCTCTGCGATACCGACTCCCCCACTGAGTACGTCGACGTTGCCATTCCCACCAACAACAAGGGTCGTCACTCCATCGGTCTCGTCTGGTGGATGCTCGCCCGTGAGGTCCTCCGCCTCCGCGGCACCATCTACAACCGCGAGACCCCCTGGGACACCATGGTCGATCTGTACTTCTGTATGTGGAATCCCCCCCTCTCGGCAAAGCTCTAGAAGAGAGATGTGGAACAAGTGAGAACTAATACGCGCAACAGACCGCGACCCCGAGGCTGAGGCCGAGGAGAAGGTCGAGGAGGAGAAGCTCCCCGGCGTTGAGGAGGAGGGTGTTGCCGCCATTGAGTCCGGCTTCCCCGCCACCGGCGACTGGGACGCCCAGGCTCCCGGCTTCACCGGTGCCCAGGCTGGTGCCAACTGGGACGGTGCTGGTGACGAGTGGGCTGCCGCCGGCGCCGCTCCCACCGGTGACTGGGCTGCTGCCGGCGACGCTGCCGCTGCTGCCCCCAAGGAGTCTTCCTGGTAAACTCCCTTCCGTCATTCAGGTGTCGGCATGACACACAAAAACGAGAGGATTCCCCCCAACACAAACAACCTACAAACGCACCGGTCATCGAAGCACGGTGTGTGAAGATATCCACAAAACGGCGGAACAGCAAATGGTCATGGAATGGTAGACAAAAGACTCTGGTGGAGTTTTTTTTCTTTTTATGATCGCTGGTAGCAATCTTGGGGGCAAAAAAAGGAAAGGGTCAACTTGGTCTGCACTAATGAGGGAAAGATACTCGAACCAAAAAACATTGTGAAATAGTCGGCAAACCACCAATTGTTTGTGATGTCGTTTTGGGGAGAGGGAAAGCCCTGTGTGGCCAAAAGGGGTGGACTTAATCGTTATCCCGCCCTTCTTTTTTCTGCTTTCCATGGAAAGCTTCTGGTCGAAAAAATCATGAAATGTTTGAGGACTTGAAATACCACAACCCCGTTGGTCCCTCAACGTTTGATTCACCTTGCATCTTCGTGACTTGGCCCTACTCCTTGCCA